GTGTGTGTGTGTGTGTGTGTGTGTGTGTGTGTGTGTGTGTGTGTGACATTCAGTTACAATGTCACATGATAAATGATACTATACTAAGCAGGTCTAATCAAATGTTGGTTGTATTTCTTTTCCTCCATATTTGTAGAGAGAAAATCAAAACCAGGGGTGTAGGTGTGAGGGGGGTTGAGGGAGAACAGCATATCCTTCAGCAGCTTTCTAACTGATCCCAGCAAGTTGCCATTCTTTAGTGCCGTTCCTATAATCAAGTCACCAACCTCCGATGTCTTTGACCCCCTGCAGTTGTGTGTAATCCTGGAGCCCATGCAGGAACTGATGTCGAGACACAAAACCTACAACCTCAGTCCACGGGACTGCCTGAAGACCTGCTTGTTCCAGAAGTGGCAGCGGATGGTGGCGCCCCCAGGTACGCATTCCTATCTTCCTTCTTCGCCCTCCTTCGAAGGCGTGCATCTTCTTGAAGGTGGAGGGCATGAAAGGATGTCAGAAAGTGAGAAGGTGATCATTAATTTCTCAGCAAAAGTAGCTTATTGGGGGAGACCCTGGCCATGCTTTGGGACTTCAAACTCACTGCCGTCATGTTTGTGAAACAGAAACATAAAAACAACAACAACAAAACCAAGCATGACTTATTCCAGGTCACTAAGAAGATCATTAGCCATGTTGAGGCTGGACCTAGCCTCTTCTGTCTCCTTGGCCAGTGGAAATACCATTGGACCAGACAGCTGCCTTCGCAAGGCCTTGTATTTGGGTTGTGCGCTATGTTGCTGAGTTTTTAGTGATAGGAATAACGAAAAGGAAGGAAGAGAAGAAGGCGGGAAAGAGCCAGGGAGGAGGGAGGGGGAACACGCCTTTAAATAAATGTTGCTCCATTGGTGAAGGCATTTCATCTCACACTCTGATCATGAAGAGAACACATAAACGGTCTTATCTCCCTCACCTCCCTAGACTGCAGTTTAGACACTGTCGTCCCCTGCTGGGGTTCTGAAATGACTGCTTCCAGTCATCATTAGTTGTCTTTCTAGCTAAAACATTTCCCCTCCCAGGCATGGGCTGAGCCTCATTGATCATAAAAGCAACACATATCCATTCGCTCACAATCATTTTTATAAAGAGTAATTATGAACACGAGGCACAGAGCTTTCTGAATCACAAAATAGAATGGACACCTTCCGCTCATCATTGGCCTGGGGTCCTACGTAAAATGAGCCTAACGTTCAATGGAAGCAACTAGACAGTTATCTGAGGATATGAGCTTAATTCCACATAGAACACTTACATCCGTATCTGGGGTGGGGTGGGGGTGATGTTGGATTTTAGACTTTGAGAACATTATGTTCCAAATACATGAAATGTGCTTAAATTGCCCTGATGGTCTATTTTAATATCAATAAGCCTTTATGGGGGTGGGAAGAGGTGGGGGGAAGTAGTCTATTCACCTAACCTATGTTTTGAGTACCTCTATTTTCCAACACAGGCATATAGATTATTTGTCAGTTCATTCATTCATTCAACAAGTACTTCTTGAAGTATTGGGGACTCTGAGCACTGGGGGTGGAGGGTTAGGGGGTGGCTAGAATAAAATGGTCAAACCCGTAGCCTTCAAAATCCCCCATTCATCTTATTGGGCCCTCAAAACAATCTTATAAGATATTGATGATCACCTGCATTTCATACCATGGGTCCTGAGGCTATAAGGTTAGCCTTCCTGGCTAGCAATTAAAGGAGACCAGACAGCAGCCAGAGCTGATTTTTTTCTCAGAAAATCCATGCCTTTTCATTGTAGCTAATAGAAAGAATCCAGGCATGTACACTCTAGGATGAACCCATTCTCTTTATCCCAGAGTTGGTGGATAATGTACAGATTCAAAGAAAACGTGCCTGATTTATCATTTTCTGGGCCTGTCAAGAGCAGACTTGCTGGACTTTAGAATGTCCACTACAACCCTTCTTCCAAAACACCATCCGCTGACGTCATTCCCATACCGGTTCCCCTTACCCTTAGGGTGAATGCCCGTAGCTGTCCATCAAAAGATGTGCTAGTCCCTTTGGTGAAACCCTTTGCATGTTGTTGTGGTTGTTAGCTGCTCTTAGTCTACTCAGGCACATGGAGCAGGAAATGTTGCCTGGTTCAGCCCGTCTTCATATTTGCCAGCAAACGCTAGTCCTTCCACCTCACCGACGGATCCCCATGCACTCGTTGACGTGCTGTGTCACCAACCACGACATCCTCTGTGAGCAATTGAGCCTCCTGACAGTGGGTACAAGGCTGGCACACTGGCAGCATTCTGCTGTGATCCATAAGGTTTCTGTTGCCTAGTTTTTAAAACAGATCATGCAGGCCTTTTTGCCTAGTACACCTAGTTAGCTTCCCTGAAACCTATTCACTATGGGTAACCCTGTTGACCAAAGAAATGCTAGTGGTATAGCTTCCAATATCACAATCATATGCAAGCCACCACTGTAAGACAAATGGATACCAGGAACAAATTATTTACACCAGAACAAGAACAAGTGGATCAATAGCAACACAATCTACATATTTCCATCAAACAAACCAAAAAAGAAAAACCTCCCACCCATAAAGTGCGTTCGACTCACAGTAAACCTATAGCACAAGATCGGACCACCTCTGTCCGTTTCCATGACTGGCACTCCAACTGGGCCGTAGAAAGTCCAGAGACATTCTAAAGCATCCAGAGCTTTGTCTTACTCTCATGGAGCAGTTAGCTGGTGCTTTTGAATCACTGGCCTGTCAGTTATCAGGCCAACACTCTGCTACCAGGGCTCCTGTTTTTCATCAACAGTCCGAGTTAATGGAGAGGATGAAGTGGTCTTTGAACTGCACCCCAGTGCCTGTCAGAGGCAGACCAGGTGTTCTGAGAGAACGTGACCAACTTTTCTAACATAGTTTTCCTCTGACCAGAATAGTTAGCAAAACTGGATGTTCTTACTTGCCCTAATCAAGGTTTCTGAAACTATGGGCAGACTCGGGGAGATCAGAGGAAGGATGGACCTGAGTTCTAATACTAGCTGCCTACATTTTGGCAAAACACTAAAATTCTGTGCCCTCCTTTTCTTAGTTACAAATAAAGGATTGTAGTAATTTTCCATTATTTTATATCCAAGGTCAGACTATGTGTATGTCTACTAAGCTTGGGGATTCCTAAATTTCATATTCACAGCTAACACAACTGATGATTCCCCTTCCTTTCACTTGAGCATTTCAGGGTGTAATAGAGCTAGGTTGCAATATGACGCTTAGCCAGTAGATGCAGCTGTTACACAATCGTTCACTCACTTCACGGTACAACATCTATCATTTCTCCAGTACCTTGCAGGCCCCCCAGGGAGTCCAAAGGTCCTTCTTTTTATGTAACTAAAAGGTCCATGTTGTTAGCTGTCATTCCCAACTCGTGGCAACCTAATGTACAACAAGAATAGCACATTACTTGCATGCTCTTCACAAGCACACCCTGGGTATGCCCGAGTCTGTGGTTCTGTATTTTGAGTCCGAACCAGCCGTCAGAGCTCATCTTCCAGTTCAGAATCAGATAAGGTAATCTATCGTGATGCATAGAGATTGTATGGACTAGCTTTTGGAAGTAGATCCTCAGACCTTTCTTCCCAATCTGGCTAAATCTGGAAGTACTATTGAAACCTGTCTACTATGCGTAACCCTGCTAACATTTGAAACACTTGTTAGCACAGCGTCTAGCCTCACAGCCACATGAAAGTACCCTCCATGAGACAAATGGACAGATGGGAGGTAAGGGAACGAGGTAGAACCAGCTAATTAAAATTCCAACATGGCTCGATGATATTTTTAATTCACCTATGAAAGTACTGGCAGCCAGAAATAGTCATAGCTCACCCCTCAAATGCAGTAGTCAGTTGCAGCCCTGTGTATGAAATGAGAAAGAACAGCACAAAATAAATGTATCTACATAGTAAAGAAAAGGAGCCCACGTGGTGTAGTGGTTATGCATCGGACTGCTAACTGCAAGGTCAGGAGTTCAAAACCTGCTGCTCAGGGGAAAAGACCGTTTTCTACTCCTGTAAAGAGTCAAGTCTTGGAAATCATTATGGGCCGTTCTACCTGAGTCGGCATCGACTTGATAGCAGTCAGTGACTGAGCACATAGAAAAGAGACAGAAAAACCAATCAACACCTTTATCCTCTCTTATCTATTTTTGGTGGTGGTGGTGGTGGTGGTGGCGGGGGTGTCAAGTGAAAACAACAGGTAGGGCAGGGTACTATTATTAGTCTATTCTTTTTCATGTTCAAACGCAGCGTCGTTGGAGGGATGGGACTAGTGGCTGGTCACACCCCCACCCCACCCCCCCCAAACCCCGCTTTTAGCCTGGAACTGATCTTTCTTCCCTTCCTCCTATTGCAGCAGAACCCACAAGGCAACCGACCACTAAACGAAGGAAAAGAAAAAACTCCACCAGCAGCACTTCCAACAGCAGCGCCGGCAACAACGCCAACAGCGCCGGCAGCAAGAAGAAGACCCCCGCCGCCAACCTGAGCCTGTCCAGTCAGGTACCTGTAAGTCTCGCTCTCCTTTAGGCTTGGCCTTCCGCCTCGGCTGCCTTCCTAATCCAGGGCCCTGGTGGGAGTCTCTCAGCTGCAGAACCGCCCGGGCAGGTGGGTGGGCGGGAGGGGCTGGGTTGGGGGGCAGAACCCTGCCACGGAGACCTTGTCAGGGAGTTAGAAGGAAATACAGGTGGTCCCCGGATTCCGAATCCCTGAGACAGACATCACCTAATTGCCCCTGTTCTCATTTTGGAAGGATTGAGCGACCCCCTATAGTCCCAACAAATTCTTCATCATAGTCACCTTCAGTCGCTACACTTACAGCTTTTAAACAACTGAAAATATTTCCAGCCTTTACTGGCAGGAAATTCCAACTCTCCGATACCCTGTGGGTAGTACTGCCCCTTTGTTTTTGAGATTGTAATTCTTTAAGGAAGCAGAAAGCCTCCTCTTTCTCCCACAGAGCATCTGGTGGTCTTGAACTACCGACCTTGCAGTTAGCCGCTCTCTAAGCAGGGCTCACGGCTTGCAGGAAACTGCGGCTACCCAAGAGCCTTATGGGCCTGTTTCGACTTACCTACGAATTCAACTGAGGCCCGTTTAGGAAGGGATCACGTCCGTAACCCGGGGATTGCCTGTATTAAGAGTCGGTGCTGCAGTGGGACCTGAATTAAAAAGCCATCGGAGTCACATACAGGAGATATGTCATTTAAGGTTTAATTAAAATATCACTTAGCAGCCTGCCTGGTGGCAGAAGCGGCCGCTCGTCACCCGCATCAGAGACCCTGGGCTCCGCCGGAAATGAGCTCCCTGCGATCCGGCTCCGGCTCCTAATTTGACTGGGGCCTTCCCAACACGGGCGTCCCCTTCTATTTTAAGACCTGGGCAATTAGCTCGCAGCCATTATACGTTTGGCCCAGTGGACTTCCGGCTTTGCCCATTTCATTAGCTCGGGAGGAGAATCAGCCCAGGCCATGAAAATTGGGTCTTGGCTCTCTTTGACCTCTATAGCCTTTTCTTTAATTTCTTGGCAAAGGAAACAGGCCAGTGGGAAGGGGGCATCTTTGGACCCCAAAGCTGACAATCGTGGGGAGTCAGTCCCCTGACAGGGTAAACAGTAAAATGACTCTTCATCTCTTAGGACTTCTTCCCAAACGCTGTCCTTTCTGGCTGGTCCCAAACTCCCTGCAAATCCCTGTCTCACCCCTGGCCTAGTATGACATCGTGCCTCGCCTTTAAAACCTCATGCTCCCTGAAGCATCTGTTTTCCTTTTCCCCTCCCCCAGGCCGGCTTTCCTTCCTGGCAGCCCTGTCTGCTCACTCTGTCACTAGGCACCTGATCATCATTTGAATCCTGACAACTCTTGGGCTCAGTGGATATCCTCTCACTGCTGCCTGCTTCTTGGGAGTGTTCTTGTGCCATGTTTCTGATCCCAGCCAATGCAGAGATCTCCTTGCCATCTCTTTTCCCCCCTGGGTCTCTCCCCACCGCCATCCTCTTCCCTGGCTCCATCTCTCTGTGGGAGTAGAGCTTGCACAGCGTATTTCTGATTGACCTTCAGACATGCTTTGCAAATCTGCCCCCACCCATGTTCTGCCACTTTCCATGGGCCCGTTCTCTTTGGCCAAAATCAACCCTATTGGTAACCTGAGCGTCACCTGAGCCATAGGGCACTTCTCCTATCTTCCCTGGACAGAGCGTAGGCTTCTCATTCCCATCATATTAGAAAGAAGGGGTCGCGTAAAGAGTGACCAGCCTGCGGGGAGAGGCACTCCTGTAATTCTAAGGCCATTGGGAATGGTAGTTCGCAAGCAATGCCAATACCTCCTCTAGTGTCTGAATTGGGCCTTACATCTGAAGAGACGGAGAAAAACGGAATCACTTCTTTAATGTACCGATACGTAATACTCACTCCTGAAAAAAGGACATAGGGACTGCCCATTTACTCCGCATGTGACACATTAGCAAAATGTATTGCAGGGGATTCTGGAACTGTGGCTTAGTTGATCAAAGGCACCATTGCTGGAAGAATTCTGATCAGCTCAACACAGGTTTCCTGACTCCTGATTCATGTGCCCCGCCTGAAGCCAGGCACCAGCAATACCACAATTTAAATAACAACATACTCCCGGTCATTGAAAACCTCAATGGTTCATTTACTAAAGATGGCAAAGAGGTCCTGTCCCTCCTGACAGCTCCCTCCTCTGGTGTCAGCTGCACAGAGTACAGAATTGAGGCTGCTGAGTCCCATACCGCGAGCTATTAGTAATGTCTGCCTTGGATGAAGATGGTGCTTTAGTTGTTGTTTTGTTGTGTTAACTAAATAGCACACTTTTTTCCACTAGTCCATAATTCTCCTCTCCACCAAATTAACAATTGTATTTTAGTGGAAGATACTTGTAACAAGAGTGTCTTTAGTGAGTGGAGATTCTTTGGACTTGTAGAAGACAAGGCATTATTGAAAAATTAACCCGATACCTGAAGCAAGCAATTAAAAGCATTTTAATTAATTAAACCATGCAGATGGCCAAGATAGGCAAAGAGGGCAACCAGGTTAGGGAATGTGAGCATCCCTGTGTGTCTGCTAGTTGAATGAAGTGTAAATGATAAGCAATGTCCTGGCCACATCATTTAACCCTGTCTACTGCAAAACCATTTTACTGTTTCAATAGAAATGCGATCTGTAGATTTCCCTGCCTGCCCCAAAGGCACGGAGAGACTCAGTGAGCAGCTGTGACCCCAGCTGTGGTTCACTCAGCTGCCAGCCGGGCCGTGCGTGCACCTGGTGAGGACGAGGGTTTAATCCTTGGATTCTGCTTCTCACTCCATGAGCAGGGGCTAGGAGCCATCCCGAACTGCAGCCTCAACCCTGGGAGGAATGGAGACCTGTGCCATTCAGCAGCAGTGACCCCTTCTGGCCAATTTAAGGAGAAGCATTGAGGGGCCCTGAAAGGAGTCACTTCCAGTCCTCCTCAGAGGTTGGTGGTCCTTGCAGGGGGGATTAGTGAGAAGATGTGACACGGGGCAAGCGCTGATGGCAGCTCCAGGCCTCTAGCCAAGGAGCAGAGGTCTGCCTCCTGGAGAGCCAAGGGCGTCTATCTATCCGGCTGGGCGACTTGCAAAGCGATCCCCTCCTGCCTCCTGTGGCATGCCCCAGATAGTAGAGATGGGAAGGCAATGTCCTTGCACTGCGGGCATTGGGGGGAGGGGGGGTAATTTTGAAAGGTGGGTGGGTGGGGCAGGGGCTGCCAATGTCCCATACCTAGAAGCAGGTCACGGTATCTCCTGATGCTTTGTGGGAGACTTTGCATGAGACTGCCTGAGCAGAGAGCCACGAGAGTCTCCGGGTCTCCCCGGACCTATCCTCATCCAAAGGCTCAGAAGAACCAAGTGGAGACACGGACATACTTGTGCACGTGGTCTCAGTGATCTAGATGAGTAGTAAGTCCTCACTGCAAACCCGTGTTTCTTTTGTCGGTCACCATCCAGCAGTCACGTCTGTGCACACATGCATGTACGCATACCCAGTAAGGGAACTGGCGACGGATGCATTTTACTTATAAAATGAAATCGCATTAAGGTGGCGTCTCAACTGAAGTTTGCGATACTTAAAATTACTTACACCTGGGTATCTCTTCCCAGCACTCTGTAACACAGAGACGACGTACCAAACATATCACTGCTATAGGTCAGCCCCCACGTGCCATGACTCCACCCACTCTTCTTACAGCACTTTTCTTCAATGACTATTGTTTTCCAATATAACACATCGGGAAGGTTCAGAACTTTCCTTCTCAACGCACGCTTCAGTTGGCTGCTGCTTCTTGCTGGCCTTGTCCCTGAAAATGCTCACCTTCTCGTGCTCTGCCGGCCTCTCTGGTTCACTTTGTGCTCATGACACTAATGCAGAACCGCGGGCGGGCTTCTAGCCTCCCTCTGATGCCCCCCTCAGAACTTCTGCATGCATTTGCCAAGCCCTTCAGAGGACACAAGTCACCAAATGAGATTAACCGTTCATGTCATTCTCTGGCTAAATTCAGCGTATCTTTGCCGTTCACCTCTGTTCTTGATTGTCACATGGTTTCCTAACTACGTGGCCCTGGATTATACTGAAGACCATCCCCCTTGCCCTCAATGGGTCAAATGGCAGCTGCCCTTACCTAACTCAGTAATGCTTACATTTCTATGACAGTCAAGTTCCATCGACAGCCCTGTTGGAATTCCTACCACATTGTGTCTTACCTTCAAGAGCCCTCACGAGTCACTTTACCTGTCAGCCCCAGGCCGGCTTCTTCACTACACGATCCAGATGTTCTTGGATGTGCACATCGGCATATCCTACCAATACCTTTACCAATACCTTCATGGCTGGGTTTACCAAAGGCATACTTCGGGCATTTACTTCATCTGGGTCATGTCTGTTGATAATCATTTTTCATCAATTCCCAAGAACGATTAGGCGGAAGGAAACTTTCGGGAACCTGCTGATGATCCCACACCACCCCCAACCCCACTAATTCTAGAGCTTCTCATTCTGCCACTGGGTGTGGGGAGGAGGGGAAGCGCAAACAAAACAACATTCTGAATGTCACAACAGGCCAGGTGATAAGGGATTTAGTCAGGGATCGCATCAAAATATTCAGGGGGTGATTTGAGCGCCCCCTGGATCTTCTCCGGGCCAAAGGAGCATTTTTCTACTGTACCGCTGAAGAGCATTTTTGCCCAGCTGTCACAGCACCTTATAGAATTGGTCTCCTTAGCAGGAAGCCCACCATTCCAGCTCCAAACACAACCTGACCCTGGCCTCCAGCGGAAGCTAATAGCAGTTGGTCAGCCTCGTGGAATCACTGCGCTTTGAAGTGGAATAATGCTCAGAGCCTGCCCAGAAATGTCCATCTCACAGGTGTCCTGTCCCATGCCCAGGTCACCCATCAACCCCATATGGTCCCCTTTGAACAAAGAGGCCGGAGCTGTGCCCTGTGTATGCATCTTTCTCCCCCGTCCCTGTGCCTCTCCAGGTGTGGCCTCCAAGCTGCTCCCAGCTACAGTAGGTGGCTTCCTTGTTTGCATGGAAGGGCAAGTGTGTGCTTAAACCAGTGATTAGATGGATTCTTCTTGTGCGCTCCCCTTTTTGATGACAGCCAGCTTCATCTGGGCTAATTCTAATGAGTGCTCTCTGTCTTCCTTTTTATGGCACCAGCTGGACAGACTGGTCCTGTCTCTCTACAGCCCAGATTGGTGGCAGGGTTGCCTGTGTGGGGATAGGTGACAGGCACCACGAAATAACAGATGGTAAATGCAGGGCTTGTTGGCAATCAGCAGGTTTTCCGCTAATGACTTAATTAGCTATGCAAATTGTCAAATCAGTGTGAACATTGTTTTTATCTGAAAACTTTACCTAAATTAATTACCATAATTAAGTAGCAGAATGTCAAGGATATTGGCTGCATTAAAAGAGGGCCTGGCTGAGTAGAGCAAGGAATGGCTCTGTCTCCAATTAGAACCTATACCATCCTTGGGACAGAGCAAGTCCATTTGGAAAGAGAGGTGGGATGATCACAGGCTGGCAACTTACAAATATCTCTGCTGGCTGCTTCAGGCTCTTAAAGCCATTCTACTTGCGAGGCCCCAAGTAAGGTGTTTGGACAGTCAGCCAAGGATCTCACAGAAGGTTCCTTAAAACCCTCTACCACAGCTCCCTCACCCACTGCAGTGGGTTAACTATGTGGCTTTAAAATACAAATTTTAACCATGTGGCTTAAAATATATTTTTTTAATGGCAAATCCTCCCTCCCACCCCCACCCCCCACCCGTTTCTGCAGATTGCTAGCATTGCTCTTTCTCCCATGTCAGGCTGCTGGCTCAAGACATAGACTGGTTGTTACACCACAGGAGGCGATATTTATTTCCCATAGAAATCAAATGCGTGCCCTTCCCGCCCGCCCACCTCCACACCTGACCCTGTTGTACCTAAGCGTGTCTGTCCTAGCTACCCCGACACCTCCCACGATTATTTGACGCTGAGCTTCTCTCTCCCAAGGTTCCCCTGTAATAATGTCAGGCTGCTGTTCACAGGACGTGATGGTGGTAGGAGAGCCGACTCTGATGGGAGGAGAGTTTGGGGACGAGGACGAAAGGCTAATCACTAGATTAGAAAACACGCAGTATGATGCAGCCAACGGCATGGACGACGAGGAAGACTTCAACAGTTCACCCGCCTTGGCAAACAACAGCCCTTGGAACAGTAAACCACCTGCCGCTCAAGAGACGAAATCAGAAAACCCCCCAGCCCAGGCCTCCCAATAAGAGCGTCAGTTACTAACGCCCCCAAACTACTATCAGTAGGCCAGTGGGTCAGAATTTACTGTTCCAGATCTTTGCTTAACAGGAGAGAAAAGAGGAGAAACACAGAAACTTGTACGCGCCCATACCTATTTCTAAACCATAATGATCTAATTTTCTTGCTCTAGGTATTATTATTACTCCCTCTTTCCCCCACCCCGCTCCCCACTTTTTTTTTTCTATTGAGAGGATTGTTCCCGCTAAGCTTCTGCAAGCCTTCCTTAAAGTTCTTTGCAGGTGATGCAGATACTGGCACTGATTGTAATTGCTAGTTGGCCTCCAGGCGGGCTAGTCACACCTGGTTTGTGTTGAAGTTCCTTTTTGTGCACCCAGCAAAGGCCATATTGCCCATACGTCTTCAGTGCTCAGGATCTCGTGAATGATGCTGACGACTTTTTAATATTGTAAAATATTTTCTGCTTTTCGACTTGCATCTGAAAGTTTCTCGTTTCCGTAAAAAAAGAAAAGGAAAAAAAAATCCACTTTGGGGTCCATTAATTTCCAGAGACCTTTCTTTTCTTTTCCTTTATACCTTCTTTCACTGGGGAACAGCTAAGAAGGGGCCCTGTTTGCAAGTGGATGTCAGTAGGTTTTTGAATGGTGGTGCCTGCCTGCCGGTTGAAACCAGAAGGGCCGTTTGGCATCACCGAAGACACCAGGGAAGAGTTTGATGGGCAAGACACTTGGTCCCTTGAAAAGGTCTTGTAAATTTGCTGTTGATCCAAATCTTTTCAAGCCATGTAATCCCTTGATTATCACTTTTTTTTTTTGGTGGGCAGTTTAATAAACCTGAAATCTTTTTGTGTTTTATTACGATGATTATTGTTGTACCTGAGTTGGCTGTTCTTTCTTTTCATAGTCTATTTCTTGTATAATATTTTGTAAAGCCCTCAGCTGACTCTTTGATGGGGACTTTTCTCTTTTTGGGGGGGTGGGGGAGAGGGGCGATTCCAGTGTATTTATGTGAAACTTTATAAGAGAACTAATTTTTCCATTTGCATATTAATATGTTCCTCTACACATGTAAAGACACAGTGGCTCCGTGTGTTACCAAACAGCTGTATTTTATGTATGCTTTACTGATAAGTGTGCCAACAATAAACTGTGTTATCAACCACAGCAAGCGGAGCTGGCTGTCTGTTCGTATGGGGTAGAAAGTTGCCTACAGGTGCACATGGGGAGCTTGGATTTATGGTTCAGACTCAGCTGGGCTGGAACTGGTACACCTGGGCTAACTCTTTGATTGTGGGCCTCGGCCTGCCCCACTCACTGCACTTTCCTTCCTAGGCAGGCTTGCACTGTGCTCACTGAGCGACGTGATGAGAAGACTGGGCTCTAGGGACTTGCCATCAAATGGATGACAATGGCTCCCCTAGGGGGTGCCAATGGTTAATGTGCTCGACTGAAAACCAAAAGGTTGGAGATTGAGTTCTAGGGCAGTGGGTCTCAACCTTCCTAATGCCATGATCCTTTCATACAGTGCCTCATGTTGTGGTGACTCCCAGACCATAAAATTATTTTGGTTGCTGCTTCATAACTGTCATGTTGCTAATGTTATGAATTGAGTGACCCCTGTGAAAGGGTCATTTGACCCCCCAAAGGGGCTGTGACCCACAGGTTGAGTACCGCTGATCTAGGGGCACCTTGGAAGAAAGGACTGGCCATCCGCTTCCCCAAAAACTGAGCTATGGGAAAGCCAATGGAGCACACGTGTGCACCTTACCTACTTGGGTTGCCATGAGTTACAGCAGTTCCATCTACTGAGTGCTTCCTCTGCAGCAGACAATTGGACTTGACGTGCTTCGTGCCCCACAGCCCTGCTTCCCATTCATCCTTACAATGGCTGCACAGAAGAGGCATGAGTTGCCATTTAAGGAATCAGGCTCACTTGCCTATTTTTTTCCCAAGACATATGCTACCTAGAACCAAAGCCAAACTCATTGCCACCGAGTCGATTTTGACTCATAGAGACCCTATAGGACAGGATAGACCTGTCCCAATAGTTTCTGAGATTGTAACTCTTCATGGGAGTACAAAGTCCCCTCTTTCTCCTGAGGAGTGGCTGGTGGTTTCTCAGGCTGACCTTGCAGTTTGCAGCCCAAAGTGTAACCCCTATGCCACCAGGGCAGCTTGCCACATAGAGAACATAGAAACTTTATTTGCAGATGTGTGTGTGTGTGAATTTTTTAAAATTTCCTCCTATTTTCCCACTTTGGACTAAAGAGGAGAAAGGTAGTAAGGTTAGGGGTCACCTTCCAGGTGGGAGACTCAGGTCTGTTTTCTAACCAACACAAACCATGTACATCTGTGGCCCACCTACTAGTTGAAGCTTGGATGTACTGTGATCCCAAACTGGTTTCCGTAGAACTTCCAGACTAAGACAGATGAAGAAGAAAGATGTGGCAATCTACACCCCAAACTTACCCAGTGAAAACCCTATGGGTCACAATAGGCTGCTCCACAGCTGATATGGATCAGCCAGCATTTCATCCGGTTGTACACGAGTTCGACAGCAATGAAGGAGAACACCCTAAAGAGGCAGAGGAGAAAGGACCTCTGCTAGCATTCACTGAGTGGCCCTTATGCGCCACGCAATGTCCACTTCTTATTTCAGTCAGTTCTGCCAAGAAATATTTGGAAAAGGGAAACTAAGGAAGGGATCAGAAACAGTCTGAGAATGAGATTTGGGTAAGTATGATTTACTATCGTTGTGTTCTTCAGGAAAACATCTAAGAGAGTCAGGGGGTGGGGAAAGGGGAGAAGGGAAAGAAGCAAGAGAAGCTTTGGACTCAGCGGTCTGCTTCCTGGATTGTAGACATGAAAGGGGGCTCTGGAGCATAATCCTTACAGCAGAGTTAGCCCCTCTTGAGAGAAGAGGCAAGACTTCTGTCTTCCCAGGTTCCGAGAGTCCTAGGCTGGAAACTTTCCCCTTCCAGCATGTGTATTGGTATCGTCACCTTCAGAACAAGAAGGTGCCTTATCAGCTCATTGATTTCTTCTAAAGGAGGCCAACTAGAGAATAAGCCCCCCAGCATCTTGGAATTGGTGTTCTGACCCCTGAGAGTGTCATGTGCAGCACATGCACTGGGCTCCATTAAGTGACATGGCCTCAGTCTCAGATGTCATGGGTGACACAGTAATAATTTAATTCAGGTCTCTTGATTACAAAGCCTAGGTTCATTCTGGAGCATCACATTGTCTCCCTAGCACCTTAACGTGTTGAGGGGTGTGCAGTACAACAGCAGCAGAATCCAAGGGATGGGTCATGGAGCCAATTCCCATTCATGGTGACCCCAAGTGTGTCAGAGTACAACTGTGCACCACGGGGTTTTCACTAACCAAGTTTTGAGATGTGGACTGTCTTCTGAGGCTCCTTTGGCAGTATTTGAACTTCCAACCTTTGGTTAGCAGCCAAGCACATTCATGATTTGCACCACCCAACTTTGAATGTATCTTTCTCATCTGTATAAGTTGTGTCTCTAAAGCTTACACACACACACACACACACACACACACACAAATATTGTTTAAAATCACCAGTATTAAATAACTCCAGATTACCTCGAGGATAATTTATTTAACACCTGTTCCAGTCAGCTACTCAACTCCAAATGTAGTGATTCAGGGCAGCCGTGGATGGTTTTCACTGGTTCCTACCAATTTCCACTCTGGTTGGTTTGTACATAGGCTCCCAGATGCCAACTGGGGCGAGTCATTGGAGGTCAATGGTCTGGACAGCTACGATGGCACACTCACATGCTGGCTATTGGTGCTGTTGACTGGGGCGCTTCATGTAGCCTCACCTTGGGGCACACACAGAACCATGGCTGGCTTCTGAGAGGGCATCTCCCAAGAGCCAGCATTCCCAGGAGAGAGCAGACCTAATGGCCAGTGCGCAAGACTAACGCAGAGTCCCTTCTTGTATGCCTTCCAATCCAAGAAGCATAGGCCAGCCTAGATCCAGTGCATGGAGTCGTAGAATGCACTCAAGATGGATAAGTGGCCTGTGTTCATGGTGGGGGTGAGTAATGGTGGCTACCTTTGGAACCAGGCATCTACAACATCTGAGGCATACAGGGTAAGCCCCACACTTACCTCAAGAGCTTCTTTATTCCCACCCCATTTGTACCTGGCTCGTTTACCCACCGCTCCTCTGTGTTTTCTGAATAATCCAAGTGTATATCTTTGTATAGGTTTTCCCCTCATAGAATGCTATTGTCACCTCAGGTAATAAAAACTACCACCTTTTAAAACCCAGCTTAAGTCTCCCATCCTAAGACATCTCCCAATCCCTGTCTAGTGAGGGCGGGGTGACCTCCATGGGCTCTGAAAGCACTAGGTTCATGAGTACTTTACAGTGTCGCTAGTTGTTTCAACCCCCTCACTAAGCTCTGTGAGGTCTGAGAAGCGCGATTGTGTCAACCTATATCATGAATATCTGTATCACCTGTATCCGGCTTGTTTGTGGATAAGATAAAGTCGAAAGCCTCCATGAAGCATGAAGTCGTGAAACCCCCCGTTAGGGACACATCATCCTGTTTCGGTCTGTTACTCTGTGACACAACTTGAGGTGAAGCTTACCCCTGTCTGCAGGTAAGGAGGTAGAAGCTAGGCAGAGCGGGGTATGTTCAAGTTGTTCCAGGGTCAAATCAGCACAAAACAAACATTCTGCAAAGCATTGGACCACACCTACCCTCTATTGCAGGGGTGGGGAACATCTGGCTCGGGGCCATCCAAGGCTCCTGAAATCATGAACAGCGACTAGCATCACACACCTCACCAATGAGAGGCAGTTGTAGTTATCATCACGTTAAAGGTGAGTTCATTCGATGTTCGATCAGTCTGGTCTGCAAATGATGTTACAGCTATCCAGATGGCCCTCTGTAGAAAAAAAGGCTCCCTATCCTGGTCCTATTACAGAAACTCTAGGGTAACCATCAGCTCTATAACAATAGGGCAAGCATGTATGAAGCACATACTGTGTCCGGTTAGGGAGCTCAGCTCTGCTGGTATGGTAGGCTATGAGTTAAGCTGCTCATTGCAAAGGTGGCAACAGTTTGAACCCACCAACCACTCTGTGGTAGAAAAGGGAGGCTCTCTGCTCCAGTAAAAGTTCACAGCCTTGGAAACACACAGAGGCAGTTCTACTCTGTCCTTTAGGGTTGCAATGAGTCAGAATTGACTCAATAGCACTCACTAATATTAATACTAGGTTCCAATTAGGGACCCTGGTGACACCACAGTTAAGCACTCAGCTAATAACCAAAAGGTCAGTGCTTCAAACCCACTGGCCACTCGAAGAAGAAAATCCTGATGATCTATGCTTGTAAAGATTACAGTCTAGGAAAGTCTACGGCACAATTCCACTCTGTCCTGTAGGGTCACGATGAGTCAGAATTGACTCAGCACCTGAAACATGGACTAGGTGATGTCTGTGGGTAGTGGTTCAAACAGTTAACTTGCTTAGTTACTAACTAAAAGGCTAGAGGTTTGAGTCCACCCAGGAGGGCCTTAGAAGAAAGACCTGGTGACATAGTTCCAATAACATCAGCTACTGAAAATCCAATGGAGTGAAGTTCTACATGGGAACCCCAGGAGTCAAAATTACCTTCATTGAAACTGGTTTTATGTCACTCTATCCTGGTTTTCTCAAACTAGTGACCCAAGCATGGGCTAAGAATCAGGCATCAAAGAACAAAAAATCATATCATTGTAAATGAGGGTGAGTTCAGAGTGGAGCACCAAAGCCCATCTGTAGGCAACTGGACACCCCCTTATAGAAGGGTTGCAGGGAGGAGAGGAACCAGTCAAAGTGCAGGGTAGCAACAATGAAACATACAACTTTCCTCTAGTTCTTAAATGCTTCCTCCCCACCACTATCATGATCCCAATTCTAGATTACAAATCTGGCTCGACCAG